TATGTACATATATTAAACTTGTTGTTTTGTCAGCTCCTGTTTAAATCGGGTCAGTGTATTATGACATAGGACCTCCATAGATAAATACAGTCATGTGTGTACACTACTAATTAGCTGTACCATACATTTAAGTCTTGTTCTTACAAATATATCCATTTAAAATCAAATATTAAGAATAGCGATTATGAGCTAATTCAGAAACTAAAACACTTATCTGCAAAAATTATCAATTTTGTTTATGAATTCTAATATCAATGTAGAAATTTATCAGACATATTAAATGGATATTTTTTTGGCAACCAATAGCCATTTTTGACACAAACAATAACACAATAGATAATTAAAACAATTTGCACGTTTGTTAAAGAATCTTATACAATGTACTCTGAATGTAAGACCTTGCATCACTGCTAATACTATGTGGGGTAATTAAGTTGGATAGCTGACCATAAAAAGCAAATGCCTATATGCATTATCGAACACATAGTAGTTTCTGGACGGTTGGCCCTAAACTGAGAAGCTTATGTAACTAGATGCAATCACTGCTTGAAGAAGTGGACAGGTGACACCCCTCTATCCCTACATTGCTCACTCGCCGATCTCTAAAATATGGAAATGAAATGAAATGAATCAGGTTTAACATCCTACTTTTCTGCACCGATTTGGCTAATGAAGAAGGACATACACCATGCAGTGTGCTATGAGGGAAATTTTGCCTGGACAGCGGCACTGCGACCTATTCTTATATCGAATAAGGGTTCTTTTACGTGCATGCCAATGTGTACACAGGACCTCGTTTTTCGTCCCATCTGAACAATTTTCACGGCCAAAACCATAACCGAACCCAAGACATCCAGACTAGCGAGCCAGCATCTTAGTCACTGAGCCATTGTGTCTCCTCTAAAATATGGGGGAGGAGGGTCTAATGATATAGGAAATATCAACTGCTTTTGGTTGATTTGAAGGATATAATACTCGTGATACCTTGATAAATGATACCTGATCTACAGTAATAACCTGCACATCCATGTCACACCTGAAGAAATTCTAGGAAATGATGCAAGCACATAATGAGCAATTCAAGTTATATTTTAACGAATAAAACTGGTTAATTCAGGGTAAAAAGCTCTTGCAAAACTTCATTCTAGTCATGTGCATGTGGAGTTGGCAGTAAGTCCCCAAATTCAATGCTGTATAAAATATAAGTGCCTGGATATTTACATCTATATATTTGCTGATTTAATGGTAACTGATTATCACAACTGAGTCACTCAAACAAATGAACAATTAAATTTCTTAATCAAATCTGGCAATCAGTTCTGAATTGCTCAAAATTTTGATTTGTAATTTTCAGACAAGGAAAATAGACTAAAATCTCACGAATGTCTTTAACAATATTCTTAAATTTAAAGATACATTATGTAAGATCTAGATATAGAGCTGACCGTTTTTGCTATAATGAAATGAAATGAAATGGGGTTTAATGTCCTACTGTTCTGCTCCTATACTGGGCTAATGAAGACAGGCATACGCCATACAGTGTGCTATGAGAGAAATTTTGCCCGGGCAGCGGCACTATCGCCTACTCTGATATCGAATTCCAACTGCCAAGGGATCTTTTACGTGCATTCCAATGTATACACTGGACCTCGGTTTTTCCTCCGTTCTGCACCACTGACAAGGGAAAACCACGTCGGAAAATCCAGATGAACTTTCTCGGCCAATGCAGGGATCGAACACCCGACCTCCAGGCTAGCGAGCCAGCGTCTTAACCACCTAGCCACCGTGGCTCCTCTTGCTATAATAGTTTAAAAAGAGATAAATTTTAGTACAATTACTTTATTCTGAGCGAATTTATAACTGTTTGAAGATGTAGTGTAGATTGTTTATTTTCATAGCAAAGGTACTTGACAATCGAGGCTAAGTCTTTTGATTATCCAACTTATCTTTAAATTTTTAAATCTTGCATGTGTTTTAATCCATTTAAATCTCAGCCATCCTTACTCTAGCGAGTTGATTATAGGCTTGTCAAGTGAATAAATGATTAAATGATAATTTATACAACATTTGAAGCAAAAATAAAGACCTGTAATAGACAGATATATATATAATAACTTTTGCATGTATGCATCTTTAACAAGAAGATATTATTAACGTATGTTAATCATTAAACTCTATACTTTCTTTCAGCTAGGTCACCTTGTTTCTGATTAATATACAAATTCTTTATTTAGTTGGATACAGTAGGAAGAACATAAAAAAAAAACATCAATATTAAACCCACATACACTTCATTCCACATACAACTGGCCAGCTCTGTGGCAGACTTTCTCTTAATGCAAAAATGTAAACAAGCATTGATTTATGATCTGAATGGCCAAACCACTTCCCTTTGATCATCTGATGATAAACATGAAACATAAAGCTGACATCATCATCAGAGAGAGAGCAATAAGGTTTAATGTCTACTCAGTGGCGGCGCCCCCCCCCCCCCATTAATCTGGTCTGCCCTCTGTTTGCCCCCCCCCCCAATAATTTTAGAAAATAAAAAAAAGTATTTGTGATAAGTTTCGGTAATCAATACCTTCTACGGTGAATAAATCCCACATCCCCACTCAGCCATAAACTTGCATGTTGTAGAGCATTCCCGACAGTCTAGTTTTCAAAATTTTCTTGGCGAGGTCCCCAATGGACTCGCTACTTTGGCACTCACAAGGGGAATTCGTTGAGGTTCGCAAGTCCGGTCGTTTGACATTTTGTTATCTAGTCAGATAAACTAGTGATCAGGCGACGAACGGTATCTGGGCTGATCTATTTATCTCGACGATCGGTGCCTGACAGAATACTGTAAGACAGCATTACCGGCAGTCTATTTTTCAAAATTTTCTTGGGGAGGACTCCCTACTTTGACGCTCGTGAGTGGGCTTCGTCGTGATTCGCAAGTCCGTTCGTTTGACACTTTACCTCATCGATCAGTGCCTGAAATACTGCCAGGCTGCATTTCCGGCAACCTGTTTTTCAAAATTTTCTGGGGGAGGCCCCCTACCCCTAGTTGAAGCTCGTGCCTTTGCCCTCTTAACCTTGGACTTTGCCCCAGCTTTGCCCCTCCAAACAAGGTCATTTCAGGACTTACATTTGTTTCAATTTTATTTCAATAATTTGTTGGTGCTTAGGCGTGTTTATCAATGTTAGGAAACTGGAGGACCTGGAGAAAACCTGCTAGTTTAGACTAGCGACTCTACTCCTTGTAATGTACAAGCTGGGAATCGAAACCAGATCAGTTGACTCAATGCAAGAATCTATGATCTGAAGTGCATGCATTAGATCATTTGGGGATCCAATCCCCCATCATCAAACAAATCAGTTTGTTTTATCTTTCAATAAAAACAGAATAGGTTGTTGTATCAGTGACATGGGATCCCATGGAGCACCCAGGTCCAATATTATATCACACCAGATATTACAAGCCAAAAAGGTGTCAAAAGACGAATAGAGTGGTTAAGCACAATATGCGCCAATATTCAAATGATCAAATTGTGGTTGACAGTTATTAATTTCTTGTAGGCTTGCATAATGTGACTTGTGTGTCTATAACTTTAGTTAGGAAATGATACTTTCAGACAAAAATAAGTTTTGTGGGTTGAACAAATGAGTGCTCAAGGAGCATATCTGTACTAAATACAGTTTTGTACGCCCACACTGAATTGTGTGTTGTATATTGTCAAAGCCCCCATTTGTCCATCCATCGTCCATAATTGCTTGTGGACACTCTAGAGGCTAATATCATTATCTTATTATGGCACTTGATCACTTTGAAATTTATACAGTGTCTATGGTCATGTTACGAAGAAGCCTATTCATTATTAACGATTTCCAATAACTTTGTATACTAAACATTATCATGGACTAAACAATTTGTAATGATTTCTGATAATTACTTAATGGGTTGTTACTTTTAATCAGTTTTACATTTTAGTGTTGTGTAAATGCTTTCATTATCAACAAAAGACAAAAAATTTAACAACCCTTGTGGACTGCTCAGACGACTGCTATGGGCATATGTTTCGTTGCCCGACAACCTATCTTTTAAACTGTATACAGTATGTAGGCCTCTTTTATGTATCGATATCAAAAATGCATTGTGATGTCGTTCGGTTTTTTTTTACCAAGTACATCCATTTGGAACTAAACATTTCTTTCAATGTATACAAGTGATTAAAATTGATATTTCTAATATATCTTCTGTGGATTTTTATGCAACATTTTAGATTTTTATAATTTTTTTATTTTATAACAATAAAAACGTCACTATTTGTTTCAATTTTGCATGATTTCAAGTTTGATTTTGATTCAATAAAAACACTTTACAGCTTTTAGTATCAGATATAATTTATTCTAGAAACCTCTATCCCATAATATTCATAAGTTAAATTTGCTTTGAAACAAGAAATATGATTGGCTCACTCATTGCGCAACCGCAAACCAGGACGTCTGTTAGAAAATGTCTAATACATGCTGTCTGGTCAAGATAGCCTGCAATGCAACTTAAATAAGGTAGTTATTTTTTTATTTACAGTTTTGTATGCAGACTTCTTTATGTGTCAGCCATGATTGCATACTGAAGATTTGCTACGACCAAAAATACGTTTTAAGATGGCCTTGATAAATTTCAACATGGTATGAGAATTGTATCATCAAGTTCATGGATGTGGATATACAATTTTTTTTCAAATGTAAAACTAAACACAAGCGAGATAAATGAAATGTCTGGATGTCTCGACCCATATATAAAAGTTACCCTGACACAGACGTGTGAATGACCTATTCAATCAAACTGCATAATACTTTGCAGCTGCATTTGTCACACTTCTTAGGCATCCATTAAAAAACATCAACATATAATGCAATTAGGGTATACATTACACTTGAATAGTATGGCGTTCTTATCATGTGCCGTCGTAACTATTTTTTCATGCATACTTCATACTTTAAAATATACTTAATTCATATTTGAATCATTTATTCAATCTAAATAAGATATGCGTTTTGAGTTTATTCATGTAAATATATACCAAGGCTTTGTGTTTTGCTTCAAAAGCTAGTAGATACAATATATGCATAAGTGCATTTCTTCTAACACGCATAAACACTACTACAACTTTTGGCAAATGGTACAAGTTATTTGATTGGATGATTCACTGTGACGAGAAATCGTATGATTTCCCAGGGTGTCTTGAAACAACGACTTCGGAGAAATATTTGGAATAGGTCGGAAATCTTTATGCCGTAAGTTACACGTTATAATATCATATTTATCGTTACATTAACTCAATTAGATTCAAATTATAAATATGTTTCCAGGCTATAAACTGTCTAATTTACATATGAACAGTTATCCGAATTAGGCGTAAACAATAGTTCTTCATTTTCTCACTGGATAGTTCAGTTATTTTAAAAACATCTGATGGGGTGACGCTTCAGAAATTAAATCTCCATCTATAAAATCATAAACTTTCTTCTTAAAGATTTATACCCTCTGAGCCATCTAATTTTGATTTACTAAAAACTGAGCATAACTTAATTTGAAAACCTTTAAATCTAAACTTGGTTTGGCAATAAAATATTCCTATAAATAAAAATTTAGGAGTTCTTACAAGGAATACTTTCTAATCAAATTTGATCAGATTAAGTCTTAGTTTTACAAATAATTTTTCCAAATAACCTAAACCTAAGTAAATTGCTCAAAAGGCCTTAGCAGAACGATACTTTTCCTCAAATGACTGAACATGTAAACTTTCTCACAATAGGGCTACATTATCAGATGAACTTTCAGAAATAATCATACCAGAGGAATTCTATTATCTCAGATAATTAATGATATTAGCTTACTAGAGGAAATTTTCTCCTAAGTACCATTAAAAGAACTGTTTGAGCTCAATCGGTTGAGAATTCTTTGAAATAAATGCAAGGAGATACTTCTAGCTGCTGTTGGGAGAGAGAGAGAGAGAGAGAGAGAGAGAGAGAGAGGGGGTTTAATGTGCACTCGACACAAACTTCAATTTTATTTCAATAATTTGCTTGCGCATAGGGGTCTTTAGCAGTGGGAGTAAACCTCAGAACGCGGAGAAAACCCACGAGGTTGGACAGACGACCCTACTCTTGTCACATACAACCGGGGAATTGAAACCCCACCAGTTGACTCAATGACAGATGTTATGATACAGCGCGCACGTGCTAACCATTCAGCCATCCACATCCCCCCCCACCAGCTGCTGTTGGACCTGATGCAGTTATGCTGTGCGCATGTTTGACAGCAGTACATTTTCTGTATATGTCCTTTAACCTAAAACCTTTAGACTTTGGGAATGTGCATGAGTGGGTAAGTTACTCAAGCATCTTAAAAAGGTATCAGTTCTTATTAAAAAGCTTATTTTTCTGTTAATATTTTCTCAACCATAAGGATGTCTGGGCTTTGTAACATTGATGCTATTTCACCGTATATTCCGGACATGTCCTACACTATTTTCCAAACGTCCGATCAGGACATCAAGATACAGTGAATAATATTCAAAATTCCGAAATTAATTGACTGTACTAAGTGTATAACTACTACTCATTTTTATTATCGTTGATAATAAGCTGGATTGATTAGGTAATTAAGTGATCAACGTATATATCGTGTTATACTGTCTATACACCTACCTTGATTAACTATTATTAAAAACTTAATATATGTGATAACCTCATGGTTTCTCCCTTGTCAGACATTTTAGTCTTCTTGATATCAGCCAACAGCATGTACAAACTAGTCCTACATGTCACATATCCTAATAGTATATAATAAGCCTACCCCAAATCAATGGAGAGTCATTATTACATTCAAAATGCTTTGATTCTTATCTACTGCCTAGTTCTCTACCAAGAAAATGTGACGATGCTGACACATCCTTGTCCGCTGTTTCTACTTCTAGTTGTGTGTCATCACAAAATAATTTTTATCTGTAGCCATTTTCCTTGCAAGAATTTTTCATTCATCGAAAACAAAATATTCCATACATACACGCAAAACGTATCTATATGTATCGCTGCCTAATATTAGCTATTAACTTATTTCCCGTAATGAAACTATGACTTTATATAGAAATGCCCATCTACTGTGGCACTCTCCCTCGATCTTGCATGGAAATCATCTCTTACCATATAAGGCAGTGCTTACTACAAAACTTGTAATTGAGTTGATTATGCCGTGAATTATGTGTTAGCACTATCAGTTAGGTGGGCCAATAACAGACATAAAGATAGGTTGCCAGGGCAATGAAATCGTCTGAACGGTCGACAAGGGTTGTTGCATATTTATTCTTTCATAGGTAATTTGGGGCATTTACAAGACAATTTCATACAGATCAGATTATAATTTTTGTCATTTAAGGGTTCACAAAGTTCTACAAACTGAAACAAGGACCTTAACTCTGGAAGTAATTTACAGAAATTGTTGAAATTTGACAGGCTTTTTTGCTTTACTAATTTATATACTGCCTATAAATTTTATGCAGATAGGAGTGTTTACAAGGTCTAAGAAAGTGAAACAAGGGACATATAACTGTAACTCTAGAAGTAATAAACAGAAATTAAATAGGCTTCTTCATCTCACTTATAGGATTCTTCTTTATACTAATTTAAATGCCGCATATAAACTTCATACAGACTGGCAGATAATTTTTGATCTTAGAGTGTTCACAAGATGCAACAAAGTGAAACAAGGGATATAACTCAAGAAGAAATAAACAGAAATTATTGAAATTAAATAGGATTCTTCATCTCACTAATGTAAACAACATACATCAATTTTAAAACAATCCGATGATAACTTTTGGCATTACAGCATTCACGAGAAATTGTGATTAACTATCAATGTAATTTTAAAAAAAACATTTTATAAAGAACACAACGATGTTTTGACTTATTTCAGACGTTTTGCATTCATTTGTTGCTGTATAAAAGAAGACATATAATTTTGGAGGAATATTAAAGCCGTGAATTTGAAAATTGTATTACGACAACATTTAATTTTGTAGGAATATTACTGACATAAATTTGAATCCTGTATGGGAATTAAATATGAAAAATAGCTAGGTGCACCTATTTTTATTATGTACGGATCTGAATATTTTGTTTACATATGATTTTTAATTATGGTCTAAACCCCTCTGCTTATATAACGATAAGAGTTTTACCCCTTTATTTTCGGGTGTAAAAATATGAAATAGCAACACTTCTTTGTAAATGTATTAATATTGACATATTCCAAATACTGTATGTTAAAACACAAACTAAATTAGTTTGTCAAAATGTGTATTTTCAATTAGTAACAAACACATAAACTTATGTTTAACACTTACTCAGGGGATTCAAAATTTGTTACTAATACTCATAGCCGTTTGTCCAATATCTGTTACTACTAATAGTAGTTTGACCAAAATCTTTTTGTGATGGTAAACTTTATATGTCATATTTTTTGAGGGATGGTCATAAAATATTTGATGGGAATTGGTATTCACAGAAAGACATTTTGACAAGGCTCATTTTGTTTAAACAGTGTGTTAATTAACGTTTTAATTTTGAAACAGTTTTGCAATTATCTACCAGTTTGTCGCAGATTATTTCATATATTCCAACAGAGATAATAGTAATACTAATTATAATACTTGTATCGCGCAACTGTTCAATACACTAGTGAATGCACTAGGTGCTATAAAATTTTCTCACTTTGGATTGGTGACTAAATAACCAAGTTTTCACTTTGGATTTAAAAACTGACAGATTCACATTGTCGGATATTTTCTGGAAGTGTATTCCAAACAATTGATGCACTGTATCAAAAAGTTCTGGATCCAAATGATTTCAAATTATAACCTAGTACATCCGATAATAGTTTCCCCTCTGATCTTAATGATCGTTTAGGTTGATACAGTGATACTAGATTTTGAAGGTAACCTGGCGCGGATCAGAATTTACATGTGATTACGGAAATTACCCAGATTATCCAGAACAGAAACATCAATCTCTGCCATAAAGTCGCCTTTTCCCTCCTACTCTAAAATTCACAGAACATGCAAATGTTTGCCAATAAATCAGATGCAGCAAAAATATTGTGTCTTTTATGCAATAAATGTTTAGATACAGTTATTTTAAAATGTTTATTCATACTTATAGAAAACACGGTATAATACAGTGCTTCTCCCCACTTGAGAAATATTTTCTTCGCTATTCACCCCTGGCACTATAAAACATCAAATCACTAAAAACTAAAAACTGAAACATGCTAATTTGGTATCGTTTCAAACACATATTTAATGAACAGATGCCATGGATTTACACATTAAAAGCACAATGGAGATGTCATGACCCTTGTTTAGTGAGCACCTTGTGCTTGGTGTTTTTGAACAAGGGTCTTCTACAGGGGTAATCGTTCATCGTGAGGTGCCGCAATAAATCCAAAATTCAGATAATCAATTGAATATTTTCGAACTTTCACCTTCGCTTTCGTAGCCATGATGTTAATTCACTAGGACACGAGCTTTGGTGTGTGATACTGCAGACATAATAATGCACCATCGCACAATACAGTGCTTATTGTCACACTGACACAGAGAAACTGAGAATTGAGCAACCAATACTAAAGACAAGTGATTGAAATTAAATTGGGAATCCCCATTCAGGCCGTGCAGAGTTTGGGTGTAAAAAGAAACTAAGCGATCGACCTAGCTGCCTATAGTCTATTTCACATTGAGATGAGACTAGGTTACCCACTTCCCGGACAATCAACAGTACAGCGAGATAGGATAAGCGCCATTATACTCAGCGTCGAAATTAATTATGCTAGTGCTAGTCAGTAATTTAGTTTCCGACCAATGGCTACGCGGGTTTGTGGTCGGTAACATTCTGACTGATGGCTCCCGGTCAGGAGTCTGAAAACTCAATTCATGCAAATTCCCCCCTTTGTGTATAATTCACCAACAATTCCCCCGTTTTCCAAATTTCACCCCAGAGCATTTCGAATTCACCCCTGGGTGTGCACATGAACCCCGGTTGAGAAGCACTGGTATAATGGAAAATAGCAATGAAGTTAACCAAAAAAAGATTTTTAAACAAACAAGAACATAACAAATATATAGCAAACAAAAGGGACATTAAAATTCATTAAAATGACATGGTTCTCAATATTGAAAATGTTGAGCTAGCTGGTCAGGGTGACAAATTTGAGGCAGGATTTTGATGTTGAGGATTAGGGGCAAACCGTTGGATTAACAGATTCTGGGTAGGTGGCAGTCGACAGCTTGCACAAATAATGTTGGATGGATGTGGTGGTGTAACCACTGCAGATCATTGTTACAAATATATTGTAAGTTTTATATTGTTATACTCTAAGAGTGAGTCTAGAGTTATGTTATTCGGGATAATGGCAATTACGGGGATGAAACTGACTTTACCCGAAAGATGATGTTGGAAAATCTACACAATGGCCTAACCGATCGCACCTCCCACCTAACTTCATCATTTGACTTGCTTCCTCAGACAGACGCAGTATGCCCTTTATGAACTATATGTAGCCCGGTCATCTGTCACCCGTAAAATAAAGTCCTGGAATAGCGCATTATGTTCAGAACTAGAGTGATTATTAATACATATCACTTCTATATTTCAGAAACTGGTGAACCAAACTCTGTTGAAATGAAGAGTCTACCAACAACAAAGTAAGAACTTGTATTGTAAAGAAATCTGGTCAAATGATTTGACTCCAGATGTGTCTACCTCCTACACTGAGCACAAGTACAAAGTAATGTCTATTTCATTTCTTTGGGTGGGCGAACTTTTGGTGACATACCAAATGTTATATTTATGGAGATGTCAAGGGTGGAAAAGCATCAAATAATGAATCCTATTTGATAAGCGAAAATGGGAAATGGTCAACTTTTAAAAAGTTAGTATTAAAATAATATGCGATTTGCCTAATTCATTGGGACATCAAAGGAGAAAAATCATTATTATCAAATAACGAATCATATTCGATTTGCGAAAATGGGAATTGGTTAACTTTAAAAAGTTTAAAATAATCTGAAACTGGCTTAATCCTATTGACAACTTAATTAGAATAAGACAATGTCGTAAATCAAAACTCTACACACACCTATACCTCTGCGACTGATCATGTTGCGTACAATCAAGTCCATTAACCCAGAATCAATAAAAGCACTTCTTCAATTCTACACATGTTACTACATGCATAAAGATGTTTAAATTTTAATCTACTAATAACTGAAACCTGAATTATTGTAATTTAACAATTATTTATACACATGTATGTGTGATAAAATCTATATAAGTATGAATAAAGTTAGGAAATACATTGTTTCTTTATACAATTGCTGATGAATTACCTGTTAAGATTAAGGTTATTCTGATGCAAGAGAACCTTGTTTCAATATGATGTATATGAGGCTATTGCTTGAAGCCTTGAACTCACCCCACTTCTCAATTATTTCACCACTTCTTTCTCTGAAGGTGGATGCACAATTATTTTTCATGGTCTTTGGCACTGATGGTTTTATGGTGAGGGATTTTCTTGGCAATTTCTTATGCCAATATATCTAAGATTCTTTATTTAACACTTTAGCATTGATGCAGTGCTCTTTCACTTCTCCATACTCTACCACATACATAGTTGTTGAAGTTTTATGCATACCTTTGCCATGTATATTATACGACTGTGCATCGAAATCCAACTGGATATGTACCGTACACAATGTGTGCAGAAAAAACTGCAGATGTACTGTACAGCATTTATGCATAGTCTTGTTCTTTCTATGGTACAAGATTTATTGTCCCTGTTAGAAAATGTTTGATATTCCTGATATCCTAAGGGTATGCCTTTATTTTATATGGATTATTTGAGACGAATATGCAGCTATTGGTATATGAATAATAAATACATCTGATATTCTAAATCAACATGTAAATCGACAATGAGGCCTATACAGTAGTGACACATGATAGCACTATTACACCAAGTTTCTATCATATTACTGTGTGATCAATTATCGAGAATCATAATTGTGCACCATACAGTAGTCATTACGCTCACAGTGCAAAAAAATAAATGATTTCTCAATGACAGTTGACTTGTGAATGACTAATACAAATCACTAATCACTAGGTCAAGAGCCACATAAACAAAAGGACTGGACTAAGGACTACAGTTCTGTCCCTCTTTATTTCGCAACCCTCATGTGCAGTATCTATTTATCGGGCACAATTTCTGCTTCCTTTACTCTCTTAAACTGTTGATATTTTCATCTCGTTGTTGGAAAAGGTTTGAATTTAGATTATTTTCCGCCCGGTTTTAGCTAATAATCATGATTATAATGCGGAAGGACAAAGATATAATCAGGTATGATGGCATGAGAAAATCCTTTATCAAAGGATACTCTGCTATCATTTATTACCCTTCAACTTTTTTTTATCAGATTATTGTGACATATTTAAATTTCGGTGCGTAAACAGATTAGAAACTTACAGAAATCAATGGCTAAAGGGACTATAAGGTCCAATAGCCATGTGTTAAATTCAAACTGAGCTCATAAAAATATAGGTAAAAATTAAATTGAATGAACTTTATTCTGTAAGGAAATCTACACCTATATATCAATAATATTGTTTTGAGAATGCCAATGTTATATTGTGATCTGATTAAAATGGTAGTAATATGTTCATTACAAAAATATGTCACTTCACTTCATCGATTATTACCCCCTTGATTCTTATCAAGTATGATCATGTGATGAGTTTAAGCTTTTATCTCTCTACTAGTCTACTACATATATATATATGGATATATAGAGGATATTTGTCGTTTTAGAGTGAATAACACATTTTATTTCATCGAGAAGCAAGAAAACTTATATTTCCACGAATGCGTAGCATGAGTAAATATAAACATTTTCTTGCTTAGAAATGAAATAAAATATGTTATTCACGACAAAACGACAAATGTTCTATTTATTTTATGATTTTACAATCATTTTAGGTAAAAACAACTAGCCTGTGGAATAACACTTTTATTTCACTGATAAAACGCGGTATTCCACTACTGATCATAAAATAAATGGATGTATTTTATATATATATATATATATTAGAATAGTTAATTAAAGCTGCTGTTTGGTAATATATCGTCTACTATTGTTAATTGAATTATTGTTTAATAAATGCTTGAAGAGGCATTATCACAGTGAAAACGTTAGCATATAAATGTAGTTTTGTTTTGCCATCTTTTGCCAATTATATATATATATTTAGCTTGTATATATGAAAATTAAAATATTGAGGAAAGAAACACAGTATTATGCGGCTAGCGCTTTCAGTGCCACCGGACATCTTCAAGCCTTTAATACATATTCTCCATTGATATAATCAAGTCCATTGATCGGGGGTGGCATGGTCGCTAAGTGGTTAAGACACTGGCTCACTAGCCTGGAGGTCGCGTGTTCGATCCCTGCATTGGCTGAGAAAGTCCATTGGGACTTTCTGGGGTGGTTTCCCCCTGTCAGTGGTGCAGGACTGAGGGCCTGTCAAGGACAGCTGTCTAGTCATTTGGAGGGGACGAAAAACCGAGGACCCTTGTATACATTGGCAGTTGAAATTCGATATTAGAGTAGGCCATAGTGCTGCTGCCCGGGCAAAATTTCCCTCATAGCTCACTGTATGGCCTATGCTCGTCTTCATTAGCCCAGTCGGAGCAGAACAGTAGGACGTTAAACCCCATTTCATTTCATTTCGATTAACCCGAAATCAATAAAAGTACCTCTTCAATTCTACACAAGTTACTACATGCATAAAGATATTTAAATTTGAATCTACATGTACCAATAACTGAAACCTGAATTATTGTAATTTAACAATTATTTATATGTGTGATAAAATCTATATAAGTATGAATAAAGTTAGGAAATATATTGTTTCTTTATGTATATACAATTGCTGACGAATTCCCTGCTAAGATTAAGGTCATTCTGATGCAAGAGAATGGAGAATATGTATTGAAGGCCTGAAGATGTTCCAATGGAACTGAAAAAACTTTGTTTCTTTCCTCAATATTTTAATTTCCATATACAAATAAAATATGGATTAAAGAACTACATTTGTATATATTTGTAAGTACTTTCGCTAATACTCTTCAGACAAATAAATATTTAATCACTGGAGATTTCATATTGCGCATATCACATCACAGACAAAAAGAAAACAATAATCTTGACACAAATACATATTATAACCACCACTAGAGATTTCATATTGCTCATGATCGAAAAAAGCCATAACACACAAATATATATATTTTATATGAGCTACAAAAACAAAACAACTATGGTGACACACAAACATATGTATTCAATCAGTCGAGATTTCATATTGCGCATATCACATAACCTACAGAAACAAACAACAACCATGATGACACACAAATAAATTTATCTAATCACTAGAGATTTTATGCGTACCACATGACCAACAAAAACAAAAGAACAATGATGGCATACAAATAGATATATTTTCAAATAATATCACTAGAGATTTTATGTTGCGCATATCACATGTGACATGACTGACAAAACCAAAACAACAATCATGACATAAATAAATATATTATAACCACAAGAGATTTAATATGGTGCATATCACATGACCGACAAAAACTATGATGACAACTAAATTTATTTAATCACTAGAGATTTTATGTTGCACATGTCACGTGACCGACAAAAACAAAACAACAATCAGGACACACAAATAAATATATTTTATCACTAGAGAGACAAAAACAAAACAATAATGATGATACACAAAAAAAAAAACCAAGATAGATGCAAACTGTCCATGATGAACACAAAGCCCTTTACAATGACTAAAAACAATAAGCACAAACGTAAGCTAATTGTCAAGTTGAATACAAAAATGTTCCTTACATGTTAGTAGGTCAGTCTCTGGATTTTACTATAATTATTTAAGCCTAAGATTGTTTAAGGTGTAACATATAAAATTAATCTTTTAATTCACGTTGACAGTTATAAAGCAACTTTACATAGTTTCTGAAATATTAAAACTAACAAACACCAGTGTGGGGTTATTGAAAAATTACTTCATATATTTAAGTCATCACAAATAAAAGCAACTAACATCACTTTCACATTGATGTCATATAAAATGTTACTATAAAATAGTATAAAATAAAAAATAAAAATCCTACCCTATGACCCTATCCAACTTGGATACTTTGTAAAACCAAGAAATCAAACATACCCTTCTCACCTTTGTAGTATCTTCAAATATTTCCCTTCCCCTGTTTATCTAAATACAGTTCTCTTGGATTTTGCCCCATACTGCTAGAAGGATTCAATTAGCATATGAAAGTCCAAAATGTCTGCTCTTCCCCTAGCCTTTTTTGGCAGGGATGGCACAAGAAAATCTTTAAAAATCTGACTGTAAATGGTGCTTTCTAGAGTACATCCAGATGTATCTAGCTTAGGCACAAATGTAGCATGTGGCAATCTTCCCATTTCATCAATTCAAGACTGAAAAGTGTCCACTAAACTATGTGTAATTTAGGGGCTTGAGTCTACCAGACTTGAAGATTCCTTCTCAGTGCGGGGATCACGTGGCTAAGTGGGTAAGACGCTAGCTTGCTAGCCTGGAGGTCGGGTGTTCGATCCCTGCATTGGCCGAGAAAGTTCATCCAGATTTTCCGGCATGGTTCTCCCTTGTCAGTGATGCAGGACGGAGGGGCTGACAAGGAAAGCTGTCTAGTCGTTCGGATGGGACGAAAAACCGAGGTCCCGTGTACACATTGGCGTGCACGTAAAAGATCCCTTGGCAGTTGGAATTCGATATAAGAGTAGGCCGTAGTGCTGCTGTCCGGGCAAAATTTCCCTCATAGCACACTGTATGGCGTATGCCCGTCTTCATTAGCCCAGGTTAGGAGCAGAACAGTAGGACGTTAAACTCCATTTCATTTCATTTCATTTTCCTTCTCAGTGCATCCCTACTTTTTGGTGGCATTGTGATGGTTGACAACCAAGCCTAGAAATAAGTCACCTGTCAACAACATAGTTAGGCACAAATTCAGACTTTATAGGGCACAACCGATCTGTTGCCAGTCACTATAAACCCCATTCACCTGTGCTGTTAATAGCATTGTGTAATATTGGTTATATCTGCATGGTCAAATTTTTCGTCTGGCATAATCACAGATGACTAAAAAACTTTTGGTTTTTGAAACATTTTCAAAATCTACCAATACAGAGAGCTTTGTGGTGACCAATCAAATATCTAACTATGAGTGCCTGTAACTGACCAATATCTGTATTTTATCCAGTTAATCATAACTATGTTTTTTTTTATCGAAACGATATTACATCTAGGTGACAAATAATTATGTTATCTAATCAATATAGTTATGAAATTTGCCGGGTAATAATGTTTTACTATTTTTACTTTGTCTAGACTGATGGCACGTGGAAATATATAAACTTTATACCATTTCATGCAGATATATATTAATATGTACTTAATAGCATGATTCTTGTTATAACCGTAAGATACCTGTTGGTTTATGTCAATTTCATACACGTTAATCACACAGAATTACATCATACTCATCTCAGTTAGGAGGAAGTGTGGAGAATCTCTAATTGATGTCATCATCATCTTCAACATCACCTAGTTATCTATCACATAATAACCAAGACTCTGTTGACCAGTAGCTTTTTGTCTCTGAAGTCAAATTTTGCCCTGGTTTCAGTTCCAAATTATAAACAAAAGTTTTTAGCATGTTTTGAAAACAACTCAGTGGCGTCTATCATCATGAACAATTAGTAAAGTATTGGAATTCCAAATTTCCTCTGATGTTTAATTCTGATAGTCTATGTTCTTATTTTTGTTCAATGATCTATATATCATAATTCACAATTCAGATAGTTTTCATACTAGCAGGGATAATACAGGTACATGTTCCGATATTGTGCACCCAGAAGATTGAAAGATGGAGATGCAGAATAACCCAAAGGTTTCAAAGGAGTTTTGACATTAATTGTACTGCTGTATTCAAATAAACCATTTTCAGCAGATGTAGTGCCATAACTGGAAATGATTTGGTGAAGTGGAGGGATCTTGAACAAGCCACTTTTCTTGAAAGCAATGGCTCTGTTAGTAATTTGTCCAAAAATGAAAAGAGATCAATAAAGAGAAACAAATAATTTCCAATTTCCTGATCATGATACCATAAAATAACCAGTAAGGAATTACCCTATGGCTATTGTGACTGCAGTAATTCATATTATTCTCTAATTTCTATCAACAGAATGGGAGTTGGGTGGTCTAGTGGTTTAACGAGTGCATGTGAAACCGCATTAGGTTTTGATTCCCTGCTTGCACATGACAAGAAGTAAGGTTGCCTGTCCCACCTCGTTTCCTCCCACTGCTAAATACCCCTATGCCCAAGTGAATTATTGAAATAAAATTGAATCATATGTTTGTCCCAAAATGACCTAGTTTGTGTCGACCTTAAACCTCTCTCTCTCTCTCTCTTAACAGAATGCACCAATGATGATGCAATAGAAAAAGTTATGCATCAAAATAACATGTCAAGTAAAATATTATATAATCATTTAGTTTTTGTGCAGATTTATTTCTTTACCATGAAAGCCCTACATAGTGCTCGATCTAATTAAAGACCTTCATTTCCTTAAACCGCCACTGAAAACAACCCTGAATCTATTAATTTCAGGCAAATTACCATATTATAATCCTGAACATAATAAGCATTACATCATTAAGGAAAATATATTTCAGTTACCCCACAAATACTGGCCTTCGGATCCATTCACTTAATTTGATATTTGTTGTTTATTCCATGCAATGTCTATGTCTTTTCCACAGGTTTGTCGTATTGATTTTTATTTTGTGTGCAGTTGGTCCTCCTGCACTTACTTTTTAGAATAATAATATTTATATATTTATAAGAAATCTGTTTATGAAATTAGCATTCTAATTCTATCATGAAATTAGCATTTTAATTTTATCATGAAAGTTTATCATGAAATTAGCATTATATTTTTTATCATGAAATTAACATTTTAATGTTTAGCTTGTATCCCTAAATGCATCCTATATGCATGTTTTAATATAAATGTTCATTAATAAATAACAATAAAAGTCAGCAAAATCTAAATAAAATTCTGCTTTGTTATTGTGCCATCAACCATTAAAAGAATATATAAACATAAAAAAACAACCATAGTATTCTGTGCTAGATACCAAATAATGTCTAGCAAATTTCACAATATAACTATGCATACATCATGTGGACTAGATATAAATCTATATCCATTGAAAATAAAACACCCTTGTTACCTGTAGCCTATGGGTGTATGTCATTATCAATATTATGAAAAAGATTTTTTTTCAATCTATTTTCTAAATTTCTCTGTTGTTACTTGGTTTAGATGATTTTGCAAACTTGTTATTAACATATTATTGAGACTTTGACCTAAATTAATACTTAAAAAGCTTACAGCATTCCACAACATATTCAACTGGTATATAACTATTTATAACCCTTCTAAATATTCACTACCTTTCTTTTGATAATATTTTAACATGCAAAAAATATTCTTGTTATCATAAGTGTGTATATTCAAAGGAGCATGCAAAGATATACATTGTACTAGACTAAAAATGATCGAATAAACTTGCGTCACATGATCACTGTGAGCTTATATAACGTTCATAATTACATGTTAAGGCCTACTCTTCACATGTACATGTAGAGTTAGTCAAAAATGGCCGACGGAGGAAAACAAACGTTCAAACTCTGTCTTTTGAACTTTCTCCAAAGGAAGGCAATTTGTCAAATAAACAAATACTGCGGTACTAAACTTCGCCGATGACCTCAGACATGCCTCAGTTGTGTGGTCGATTATAAAAAAAAATGTTATCAAATGTAAAGTGGTTATGTCGTTAAGCAAATAAACTCATCGAAATAATACATTCAGTATGAGGTTAAATGAACTTTGAATGCCTTGAAATGACAACCATTTCGGTGTATCGCAACGGTGGCTATTGTGTCATAAAGTATAATTTGGCCGTCAGATGCATCCAACATAAATGTTGTGTAATTTTATTGCATGACCCGGTGTGACCCTAGAAAGCTCAGAAATGCAATAACAGCCAGTCGGTGCATTTCATATATATCACCAAAAGACTCTTTACAATGTTGAATAACCATAATATAAAGACATTAAAACGTAGAGTTTACCTGTTTCTATGGCGTTTGATGACTAATATCTCCAAGGTACTAATGTTGTGTGTTGCTCGGTCGCACAGAGCTTCTCTTTTTTTCTTTTAGATAGCTACTATTAGGTCAGCATGTCGCTATGTCAGAGTGACCCCTTCTTCTTCTTACTGCAAGGTCGTTCAACTGCGGGCTGTTCTCTGTTGTTTAAATAATTCACAATTCACAAAATAAAACTGACAAAGATTGAATTTTTACTAGAATACACAGTGTCTTGCTATTATTTAAAGGTTACATCGTACTGGCTGGTATTGATTATCTTTTCTCATAATAAAGCACTTCACGTAAGCAGAGTCGGGCTAAAATATGTAGGTCGCTTTATAGCTAGTTGGGTCACTGGAACATGTAAGGTCACGGGTTAAGTTACCAAATATTGCATAACGGCTATTTGGTCATTATATGACCACTAGGGGAATCATAATCTATGCATAGTGTCGCGTGTATGTCAATGCCCCCAGCGTGTGGGTAATTGAGATGGAATGGAGTCGACTTCTAAGGATTATTTTTAGCGCACGGTTACACCGAAGAAGTGCATTATTACCTAACCATCCAGAACAGTGCGAAATTATTTATACCCACGTATTTGGTCCTAACTAGGTCACTGAAGCAGACGAATATTTAGATAGATTACACATTTTGTAAGGATAAAAATAACTTACATACACCACCCTGTCGGGTCAAAGAAATCCCAACGTGAGCTTTCATTTAGACCGTCCCATTTATACCATGTATACTGTTAAATGTACAGGACAGCGAATACAAAAATGTTATAGCCATGTGAAGTATCCTCTATATCTATATTAATGCTATTTGTAGAATGCAGGATAATTAATTTAGTGCGAGTTTGAATAGGTTATTGGTAATTAGATCTGCTTTTAATTGTTTATTTTCAAATGGCCGCTATGTTTACTATTTCTAGAAAACCCGACATCACATCTCATTACATGGGAAGGTAAAATAGACAACATTTCGCTACATTTTAGTATTTGAATCAATTTTTATGCCCTGCATGATAATTTGATAATTACACTAAATGTAAAGAATGCCGGGACAGCGAGTCAACGTTTACTATTATGTATTATTCGTTTAAAGTACACTCGTGTGTGTGTGTGTGTGGGGGGGGGGGGGTAAAGGACTATATTTAAATATAAATGATAGACATAAGTCGTCCGAGCAAGCAAGCCACAATAGTTGTTGCATTGTTATTCTTTTGCAGGAATCATTAATCAGACAGCAAAACTGATCAAGGGTAACACCGCATAAAATTATCAAAATCCCGTCAGAACGAAATTCATATTGGCGGGGAGGAGGTGTCACATTAGCTAGTCAAAAGGGGTTTCACCACTTATCCCTATAGGGTCAAAACAGCCATGCATGTGTTGTACAAAACATGTACCGTTAATCAGCTGATAATTTAGCCGTTCTGGTCGTCGGAATTGTAATTCAATCGGCTGATAACTTTAGTCTTTAGGGCTCAAGATAACACCCTAAGGGGGTGTGGGGGTGTCTCTCCTGTTGGGGTTTAAGGGGTCCTTCGCCCTGAGAATTTTTTTGAAATTTCGACCTGAAACGGTGGTCTGTGGAGTATATCCCGGGCGGGAAGTCATATACTTAGTTCTATTAAGCAGACAAAAAATATCGCAGAGAAGAGGGTCCCACTGTCAGTCCGGACCCGATGATATCGGTTCGCGATTCTTGTCAATTAACAAGACCGCTACCTGTCAACCAGAAATAATATTTTGGGTTTCGGGTTATGGAAACATTTCTGATATCAACTACCTAATAATTTCAAAACTCATCGAAAAAAGGCCACTATGTTGCACGATTTTTGGGAAATGGGTCTTCGTTATTTGTTTCTAACAAATATATATATATATTTTTTCACCAAATCGCCGGGCCCCTTCGGAGCCCGGACCAAGGCATTTGCCACTGTTGCCCTCGCCATGATCCGTCACTGCTCTTCTCCCGGAAAATTTTGAAAATTGGACGGCCGCAAACACGTTTTCCAACCCAGAAAATCGTTCTCTAGCAAACTCTGAACAATGAACATAGTGACAAGACAGGGGCCCCACGACGGTGGGACATTGGGCAATTTTGTTTCGGGGGTGGGGGGGACAAATCATTTTTTCGGGGGTTGGGGGCACTGCCACCCTTGCCCCCGGCTGGCTACGGGACTGCACCCATCTTGCAGAAATTTGTGTCATTCCTAATTCGTTTGCGATAATGTGCTCAGTACAGTCATGAGAGATGTCCACAATACTGGCAATATGTCGAGTCGTCAATCGTCGATCAGGCATCAACATGTCATGCACCCGGGTAATGTTTTTCCATCCAACTGATCATATTTTTCAGGCTTAGAACTTTTCAGTCAGCCCTCGTAATTCGGCTTTACGTCTCACAAGAAGGACTAACTGCGTTTTGCTTGTTATGCCCTTGGTTATCCCCGAAATCGAACCTAGGACCTCCTGGTTATAGCGACCCTTGTCAAACTCACCGAGCCGGGTGGATCCCATATCACCAATGACGTAGCCTATAATACAGAAGTATGCAATGACCACAGGAATGAATGGGTGAAATGAGTTTAACGTTCTACTATTCTGCACCAATCGGGTTATGGGCATACGCAATACCTATGAGGGATATTTTGCCCAAACAGCAATTGAATTCCAACTGTCAGGGGTTCTTTTACGTGCATGCCAATATGTACATATTAATAGGACGCGCACGACCTCATGGGCTATTTGTAGCTAATTTATGCGACAGTTTAGACTTGGATTGCAGCTTCACGATAAAACCGAGTAACCTGACATAATGTTTAAAAATATAAATAATCTATGCACACTACCCCGCATTTGCATTGATGTCGGTCGGGTTTTTTTTCTCGCGGCACTTCCCCATAATCTGTCGGGGAAATAGATCGAGCTTGCAGAACAGGTGAAAGATGACGAGCCACAAGTGATTTAATACATGTATTGTGACAATATTATTTATGGAGGACGCGGTAAAGGCGTGCAATGACATGGAAATATGGGTTTAATGCATCCGATCAACTGCTGTTATTATGTTTTCTATTGTTAAAGTAGCTAAGTCTCTAACTCAATATCATCCAAATTCTTCAACATTGAAAACATGAAATATTTGTCAATTTCAATCAACAATGATGTTGTGATCTTACCGGGAAAATATGGGCTTCTGATATCCAATATTCAAGACAAAATAAACATTTTACCATTGGTACACGAATCGTGTACCATAATGCTTTTCAGCGTCATTTGTAACAAGGGACTCGAAAAACGAGGCTAGTCATATTCCACAAGTCATGTCAAATGGTGACGTCATATTCTTATCTGGAGAACACGCGCAATAAATACTATCGGTGTAGAATGGAATAACAAGACGCTAGAGATTGCCATTCGATCAAGACTTCTGGCGTATTTCGCCGTATATAACTGATTAGAAATTACAGTAAAACAGAAACGATTGAATGTAAATCAGTTTTTATACATTCATATTACATTATATATGTGTTGCAGCCCATTTGTGTCAATTTCTAGATCTCAAATATTAGCGACTTAGCTCCTTTAAGCCGTTATACACTCTGGTATATTGATTTTGCCCTGGCAGTGACATTTTGCCGGAAAGAGAATTGTGCCCAACGCCCCATCTACATATCGCTTATAAATAAGCCCCTGTTTTCCCCCTATTATGTACGAGGGCTGGCTGAAAATTCTAAGCCTGAAAAAAAGGATAGATCAATTGGGTTGAATCAAACTTTTGCCACCAACAAGTACACTGTATAATCATTGAATGACTTATAAACATAAGAACTGCAACTGTAGTGTTTATTATTGTCTTCGTACCAGACCATCTTGTGAACCTACCCATTGAAATCACCAGAAATAAAAAAAAGGGACTAGCCGGTCGTCATTTTCCTAGTAATGGTGACGTTATGTCAGCTGTGAACGACTTTTTTAGATGCCTGACCGGCATCCAGGCCTTGCAACATCGTTGGTAAAAGTGTGTTACGCCTAGAAGGGGACTATGTAGAAATATAAGTGGAAAACATCGACTTCTTACAGGTCTTTCACAGATAGGCTTAGAACGTTTCTGCCAGCCCTCGTAAGTGTGCGTACACGCGGAAGGCAATGGAGAATTTTACCGGACAGCAGAGTTGTTAATACACACTTGACTTGTTGACGTCACATTTAAGCTCGTTCAGACCATCCAATATTCCAACGTGAGCAATTAATACCTATAGGGAAGAGAATCGCTGATTTGCCACAGTGCGAAATTTCGTTACCGGGCACCTTTCGGTCGACATCCTTATTTGAACTAAATTTTGCCGGCAGCACCCCCTCGATCATTATTTGTATTCTTAGAATACTTAACTGGAAGTTTGGAACACATGCCTACGGATATGGAATTAAATTGCATGCATATCGATGATAACTTCTACTACTGCACTGGTATTTAAGTCTAGTCAGTAACACTATGTGATATCAAGGTGCGGGTCAATCAAGCCGTATTCAATGAGGGTGGGGTGGAGAGATGGGGTGGAGCAAAATACGGTTTAACGTCTACAGACAAGCTCCTTTCGAATTAACATAGTGCAATTTCATTTCAATAATTCGTTTGCGCGTTTGTAGGGGTCTTCAGCAGTGCAGCCCACGTAATTTCCTGATGCATCGGAAAACATTTAACATTTATTTTAGAATTGTCCATATGTTTCATTTTCAACGACTTGGCGCAGTTTTTCATGATTCGACGCGACTTTTTAAATTTATAATATATGTTCCGTTCGTTAAAAAAAATGTTACCATTAAGCAGGCATGTTATTACAGAAACACAAAGGCGATTATTGAATATGTGATAAGGGAGGTAATTCACCTTTTACCTGACGGAATGTTACAGACGATAATAGTGTAACAACTCTCTTCATTTAAACGTCAACAATTATCACTGATGTTTCACGATTGGCCTTTTATGTCATATTTTGGAAGTGGTTAGGCAATAGCTCAGTTCTTATTCAGATATTTATATATAAGTTTAGAATATAAAATCGCTTTCAATCCGTAGTTGAAATTGATCCGTTCTGCTGCGTTTTAATAGGCCTCAATCCCTATAAGCAAAATCGTATTGTAGTAGTTAGCTCAAAAAATTTATACAGTCAACTGGTTCTAGCCAGTGTTTTTAATTTATTTATTTATCATCTTTGGGCCTCTGTGTAATTGTTATCACCTTACATTTATCAACATTCCGTTAATAAGATATACTAATAACCACTATAATTATACAGGGATTGTAAAATGTAGTTCATATGTTTTAGAAGACAGAAATCCAGGTGTAAAATGTGCAGGTGCCCGACGTCCTTCCAAACTTTCTTTATACATGTTTATGAAAAGACACCTGCTTCCATTTCGTTTAGTCTATATGCTATCGACATGTTTTAATCTTTGATAAAAAGGCGATAAATGGACATTTCAACACATATTTTGTATACGATATGTTATTTGATAACATCTCGTCAAATGATTTAAACAGTCTATTGTCTCTTTGTGTACATCTTTTAATTTTTTTTCTTAATAGACTATACACCATCAACGACATACAGCTTGAAGAATTGGTACATGGACAATAACATCGTGCTGATGAAAGGCGAAAATTTCCTATGGACAGAACATATTGTATGGGACGTGGCTTTAATGGAAGGTTTGGCACATTGTAATATTATTTAAACAAGAGAAATAATTATAGTAACACCATATGTCTATTTTTTTCGCATCCTTTCGTGTTTTTATCATGTATTTTATTTTTAAAATATAGTTTAAAATTCAGTTAACGCGGACATTAATTTAAAAGGACTCGCCTATATCGATAAAGCTAATTTGACTATGCAAGTAGACCAAGCATGCTGTGGGTTAAATTTGCGATATGTCGGTTGATCCATGACCAATATGCTGTTCAAAAATCAAGACAACTCAACAGAATATAATGAGGTTTACACCTCACACTGTACTTAGGATAATCTTAATCTTGAAACAGAGTAATTATATTTTTCCGTATGTGACTTCTATGAGAATAAAAAATGAATCAGATTTGAATCCCGGCATGGACAGAGTCGGACATTCAGGTTTTTTGGGTTTTTTTTTCAAATACCGGTTATCACTTATCAGGGACAATGCCTGGTGGTGTTGACAAGTAATGTTCGTCTAATAGGGACACAAATATGAGTTCTGGGAAGATTATGCGGAAATGCTGCTTCCCGGGCAAAGTGCTCTTTTGCATATCAAGATACAACTAATATTACTCTAAGTGTGTCTCAGAAAGTATTGTGTTGAACACTATTACATTTCTTCTTTCTGCGAGGAAGATTTGGCCAGGGCAGTGGCGTTTCCACTTACATCCCAACAAACTCCATAAAGATGCATAAAAGTATTCATTTTCTACAAGGTTGTTTCAAATTCCTTTAAGTTAGAATGACTGTTGGGTGTATAGCTTATAGTATAACAAAGATGTTATTATATAAAATGATTGTACGGTGATGTTTTACAATGATAAAACGTACGGAGATTGTTTATTTTATGAATAAAGTTTGATGTTCAGTCTAATTAATGTGTGGTTTTAATTGGGTTTAAAGGGTGTATGGCTCTATTTTTTGGAACCCTGAAATAGACAAAAATGGTTCTAAACGCATTAATGTAATATGAATGTATCTAAAGTGATTTATATATTCAAACTTTTGGAATAAATGTAGTGTAATATCTAATCAATTATATGTTCAATGAACTTTACTAATACTTCCACTATAGGCCATGTTTTTATTTGTTCATTACAAAATGGCACCCGAAACCATGCGGTACGCGACTCGTGTACTGATTATAAAATGTTAATTGTGTCTTAAATATTGGATATTAGGATCCTATAGTTTCATGACAAGATAACAACATCAATATTGATTGAAACTGACCAATATTGAATATTATGGAAAATATTAAGATTGAATATGAATCCTGGCCTGATTCTCTATTTCCACCAAGCTATCACGAGTTAATATTTCTTTAGGTGGTAAATGGTGGAATTTACGCAGGACAATGTTTTACCACTACGCTAGCCCGCAGAATTAGGCATGTTTCATCTTCCCGGAACCCCACGCAATCCCAGTATGTCAGTTGGGCACGACTCCTTTCTGGGAAGGGGAGGGGTGGCCGAATGGTTAGCACGTGCGCGCTGTATTACTGGGTCAACTGGCGTGGTTTCGAATCCCCGGTTGTACGTGGCAAGGAATAGGGTCGCCTGTACAACCTAGTGGGTTTTCTCCTGGTCCTGCGGTTTCCTCCCACTGCTAAAGCTAAATACCCCTACGCGCAAGCGAACTATTGAAATAAAATTAAACCATATGTTAATCCTGAAATGATCTAGTTTGTGTCAAGTGGACGTTACCCCCCCCCCCCTCTCTCTCTCTCTCTCTCTCTCCTTTCTGGTGGTATGTCATGATTGTCAAGTCCCTAATAATCACAGCATACATGAACGTATCCGCAATAAACTGAGACACGTTATTTAAATGTTGGTTATAACACACGTAAAAGATAATACAGTTATAGTTTTCTGCCTAAGCGTATCAAACTCGACACAATAATCGTATAAGAAATTGTCAAAATAACCATTTCAGAGTTGACCTTAGCACAACACTATTCTAATTCAATTACCAACACGTCTAGGCAGTTGTCATCGCGGTTGACACCCCCACCCCATCGTTTCCTTATTTCCCACGCCCGTTACTCAGTTCCTCTTACACAATTCCGCGACATTACATTTTTGTCTATTACCCCCTGTTCCTCGTTTCCTTGTCTCATTACCTACTTTCTGCCACGTGTAAGTTTCTTCCGTTTTGATTGTAAAAATCAATTTGTTACTAAACTGTCATGTTTTGTGTAGGTCCTATGTCAGTGAGTATGTATAAATGTTTATTGTTATATAAGTATAATATATTGTTTAAAGCGAATGAGTTATAAAGACACTTATCTTAATCTCACTTACCTGTAAGTCAACCAAACAAGAGAATAAACCTATGTACATGTGAACCAAATGTAAAGAAAGACCTTCTCCATATACATCTATGCACGTTTAAAGTGGGCATGTCAAATATAATAAGTTGGGGGCCAAAAGGTCAACCGCACATTTCTTGCAGAACAAAGCAGGTTGCTGAATGCGGAATTCGGGTAGTTTAAGTAGAACGCTTACGGGAGATGCGGTCAGATTGTGTATATCTTATTTGGTTTCCCTCCTATCAGGTGGCCGCCGTTTGACCTCGTCTCCTGCATGACCGAAACATCAGTGGTCTGGGAAGTTGACCTCGCGCGAACCTAGAAGAAGAGTCCAGCTTGCAAAATCATTGAAGAAGTCATATCAGGTCAATTATGAGAAGTATTTTACCCTTATCTGTGTAGTACGTGGTACACCTTTTCAACAGATGGATAGTCATCGTAGTATAAACCCCAACCATAAAATGGTATATTATTAAATAATAGCTGACGTCAAATTTTGTAGCTATAATGAATCTTGTACAAAGCATTAATAAATGAAGTGGGGTTTAACGTCCTGCTGTCCTGCTCCAACGGGGATAATGAAGAAGTTCAGTTAGCTATAGAGAGAACATTTGCCCGGGTAGCAATTGAATTCCAACTTCCAAGGATTCTTTTACATGCACGCCAAGGTGTACAAGCAACATTGGTTTTTCGTCCCATCCAAGCGACTAAACGCTGTTTTTTGTCAGGCCCTCCATTACTGGAAACTCCCGGGGAACTTTCACGGTCCAAACTGGGATCGACCCCAGACCTTCTGGTTAGTGAACCAGCGTCGTACTCACTGAACCACAGTAGCAAGTTTCCGTAAATAATTACTATTGACAGAGAAGATAAGATATCGTTTTGGGGAAATATCTATAAATAAGATCTCTAGCTGTGCCAGTGGAATAAAAATGAAATGGAACGGGGTTTAATATCTTACTTTTAGTACCAACCTTGATGATGAAGACGGACTATAAAACAGTGTGCTACGAGGGATATCGCCCCTATAGACAGCCAAACTACTACGTACACTTATATATTCATATTGATAAGAAACCTTTTGTGTTAAAAAAAAATATCAAAACAAAACATGAAAAACACCAGTAAATAAGAAATGATACAAATGCTTTATGAAATATCGTTGTAAAATTGTTTTCAATCACATCAGGTGTCGTATATTCTGCTGCCCAGGGAAAAATAAACACTTTAAAAATAAACAGAAAATCAATCATTGCGAACTACAGATATGTTATGCTTATTCCGTATGAATACTAAATATCATTTGTCAAACCTCATGGGACATCGCCGAACAAACCTGAATTCACTTCGACACTTTTGTTTATGACATTTATTCATTGTTTTTATCTAAATTGTGTTCGACAGTCTGCCTGCAAAATATGAAACCTCGGACGAAAATGTTTTGAGTAAGCGTTCTTCTTATGATTTTCATGAAAGAAAACTGTCTTAAAGTGGTTCCATACAAGTATTTTATAAGACCATCAAATCATTCACATGGTCAATGAAAGGTCGGTTAAGGTCACACGGCAGACAGATGTTATAAAGTGGGAGAGGATGAATTGCCTGCAGATATACATTTCTTTTATAGGCTAAATCTGCTATCTCCAGCATAGATCATCTTCTAATCTCTCAAAATACCCAAACAAAAAACATCAAGTCTTCTTCCCACGATACCGTGCAACATTGGGGGGTTCTTGTCAGCCCAGTTACTAATTGCTTCAGATAATTGGCCGAACACTTGCTCTAAAAGATATTTTAACCGGTGTGCACGTGGTGGTTTGAATATAGCCTATAGGCGACATGAGAGGTCAGAGGATCTGACTATATCTAAAATACTATCTGAAAGATATTTTTTTTATCGGTTCCACTTTATATATCATTATGCATGGTTAGTTCCGTGCAGATAGAGGCCCGGGGGGGGGGGGCTGTGGCTTTGGGCATCCATTAAACGGGGGGCACCCGATCGCAACGTGATAAAGGAATCGCTGTTAACTTTTTTTACAGACTGTTCCATTAAAACATTTTTTTTTTCAATGGTTTTAATAAGTTTAAAATGTCCTCCGTTCTCATATTTCAGTGCACTAACTAGCTATTTGAGTCTTGGCACTATTTGGCTTGTACCTTAAGTTGTTGTTTACTACAATTTAAGCGTCCAATACATTACACATGGTGTTATGGGCAGACTGATTTAATTAAAATTATTTACATGCATGCCTTAATGAAAATATAAATCAATTTGTAGTACGGTGTATTATTGTGGGAATTTGATTGGAAAGCTAACGTATGCTTTGAGCTACAAAGATAACTTTCCGCCGTCTGGCTTGCGCTTTGTGGAATATTTTTAGTCTGTAAGGCCAAGGGCACAACTGGCATATGCCATTCAGAACTGCTCGAAGGATTTCGATGAAATGTGCTAATTAATGTTGCTTTAGTTATCAGAATCCAGATTCGTTCATATACGTACGTTACATGGTCACATTGGGAGAACCTGGGAAATCGCTCAAGGTCAATTTAAACACTTCCGGACATTTAAGAACCCTTAACCTGGACATATTGATTAATTTCAATCAAATTTGATAGTTTTTTCGCGTTGGTATTGTTTATTCGGAATTGTTAAAATGGAGCTGCATATAATAGGGATAAGTCAGGCAGACCTTGAAGGAACAAATTTATACATTTTTGGAAAAACGTAGTACTTATTCCAATTATTGATATGAGTAAATAAAAATATAATTTTACATCGAAATTTCAGTCGTATAAAATTGTTGTCACATTTCTCGTCCGATCTTTTCAAAAGCAACACATTATGTATTGCTTACATTTAAAATTAATGAGGAGAAGAAACCTATGGTCATTGCCCTTGATCACTTTGTGAACTTTAATGTATGCTTCGTGGTAAAGCTTTCCTCGACTAATTCATGGATTTCAACAAAATCTGTTTAAACCAGTACTTTTTCTGACATGTTTATATTTTTTTTTGTATGGCCTCAAAGTAAAAACTGTAGTTGTATTACAATGATTCGAATATTAACTATTAAAGACTACTCTTGTTTAATTTTACTTTCTTATTCTCTAAACACCAAAGAAGTGAAATCGGGTTTAACGTCTCCACCGATTTGTCTAGTGAAGTCGGACATACTATATGCCATGTGCTTTGAAATTATGCACGCCAATGTGTACACGGGGCCTCGGTTTAACGTCCAATCCGAACGACAACCGTTGTAAAGAACATGAATGTGTAAACCCATACCTGAAAATATTTTAGAAATGGATTTCATTTTAATTAAGCCCAAAGTAGAGCTTGTAGACATTCAAATTTATCCCAACAAAAAGTATTATGGTATAATGATGGCATTGGTTTATTTTCATTTTAAAATTTCAAAGTGATTTATATTAATACAAATTAAACAAATAATTCCCACTGATTAAAATCATTTATTAATCATCGTGTTCTCAGTGGAAATCATGTTCCCAGTGGATTAAGATAATCCTATTTAGTAAAACCTCTCTATAAAATACGCCAT